TTGGCTAGGGCACAGGCTCAGCTGCAGGCCCCCGCCTCCCTGGGGAATGCCACCCCAGGTCTGCACAGCAGCTCTCAGCTCCGGGGGCAGGAGGCCGCAGAAGAAGGAAGTTCCCTCCGGTCCATGTGCCACCAGCAAGGACTGGGGAGGCGGCGTTCTCAGAGAGCACACTCAGGCCCTGGCGGGTCACTCTGGTCCTCACTCTGCTCCAGCAGGGCCCCCAGCTGGGCCCAGACTCCTTTCAGCCTCCACCCCAGCCTCCAGCTCTCCTGCTCCCAGGTCTCGGAGAATACAGAGCGCTCCACTCCAGGCCCTGTCCCGCCTCCAGGCAGGCTGAAAGGTGTGCTTCTTCCTCCTGGAGACCATCCTGACTTCTTGGGGGCCAGAGGAAGGAAATGAGCCTGACCTGTGACCCCAGCGCCCATCAGATGCCCGCCCAGCCTGGCTGTGGGAGCAGCTGGGACCCCACCTGTGTGTGCAGGAGAACAGGGCAGGGGGGCGCGTGGTCCGGTCCCAGTGTGCCTTCCATTCGCAAACCCTTACTCTACATGAGAGCGGGGAGCACGTGCATGAGGCTGGCACCATTCTCGGGGGCCTGCAGACCGAGGCCCAAGGCTGGACAGGGGCGGTGACAGTGACCCCTGGGTGACAGCGATGAAACCTGGAGGCTGCAAACAGGGCCTGCGCTCTGAATCTGCCCACAGGAGAGTTGCCAGCATAGGTGACAGCACACCCAAGCCAGACATCACGTGAATATCTGAGTTCTGGTTCCTAAGAAGGTGGGGGACAGCTCCTGGGCTGCATCCCCAAAGGCCACCTGGGAGAGCTGAGCTGCGGCCCCCACCCTCAGTAGCTCTGCCCACTGGCCCTGTGGGGCCTGGAGGGTGGAGACCCCGGAGCTGTGCAGACCCGAGCTCATCCTTGGTCGCTCCCCCTGGGTGACATGCCTGCGGATAAGCAGGGCGGCGCAAGTGATGGAGGGGACGAGACGCACCTCTGGCCCTGGGACAGGCGAGAAGGCTGATACCACGTGGGTCGAGGTGCTTAGGGGATGGAACCCCACAGGGACACCTAGGCAGGCAGGGTCTCCTCCAGCTTTGGGACGAAAGGCTTTTCCTGGGAGGAGCCGACATCTGCCTTTCTCTGTCTCCCTGAGTGCTGCCCTTGAGAAAGAACAGAGAATCTTTCTGGTCCCATCCGTGCCTCTAACTCCTCATGACACCGTTTCTGGCCCCAGAACCCTCCCTCAGTCAGGCTTCCCTGAGACTGTGGGACCTGATCCAGCAGGAATGCCACCCCCCGTTCCAGACTCTCTGCCTTTGGTAATGGTGCTTTGGGTGAGTCCAGCGAATGTCTTGAGTCCCCTGGAGGCACCACTGAGACGACAGCCACCTCAACCCCAGTCGGCCTCTCAGAAACCCTGAGGGAGTAACAGTGCCTCTCCCTGCCAGAGGCCACCAGACCCAGGGCGCCTGACGAGGTGACACACCAGTGCCTTGATGGACAGACGTGCCTCTCTGTGCGTCTGGATGCAGCCAAGTCCCCTCCAGTCCACTCCCCTCTGGGGGATGGGTCTTGAACAGACTTGACCTGGTTTTTCTTACCTTCCTGACAGTCTGGTCAGGAAAAAGCTATGCTCCCACTGTACCAAGGGGAAACTGAGGCTCGAGGAAGCATGAGAGGCCTTGGCTCGTGTGCTCACGGCTCCTGGGCACACAGGCTGGTGCCCACTGCGTGGAGTGGAAGGGGCAGGGTGGCAGGCCACCCTCTGGACATAAACACCAGGCGTCCTGGTTCACCCAAGTGCCTCCCTCTTGTGAACCACATCACCTGATTCTAGGGTGCAGGCTGAGGGTCTCCTGCCTTCTTCCTATGACTACTTGTTCCGTGACTGCAGGGCTTACTGGGGGCCAAACAACCAGGCCAGGCAGTGGGACCTGATCCAGACCTTTCCAGAAAGGTCTCGGCAGCATAGATCCAGAAGTGTGGGTACCTGGCGGCCAGCAGTCCCACAGGGCACCTGTAGTTGGTCTGCCCTGGTCATCAGCCAGAGTGAATGGCCGTGGGAGGGAGGGGAGCACAGCCCACTCCAGCTGGTCAGTCATCTGCTTGCCACATGCCTAGACATCACAGCCCTGCACTCCATGCAGCTCGAACCTCAGAATGAACAACATCAGGAGTGCTGTGAGGATGACAAGGCCTACCCTTGGGCACCCCAGCTTCCCAGGGGTCATGCAGAGGGAACACCCCTCATCATGGGAGTCTGGGGGCAGATGGGAGCTAGAAGGCAGTCTGGGTCTTGGGGTCAGAGGACTTGGTCCCCAACCTCTGGCTCCGTGACCTCAAGCATGCCACTTCTCTAAAAAGCCGGAACCACAAACGCTGACTCGCAGGATCTGGGCAAACAGGCCCAGTGCCCAGCACAGAGGAATAGGGATCCACAGGGCTGGTGGTGCCATCCCGACACCCAGACACACACAGAGGCACAAACAGATGTGCACACACACAGCACAAAGACACAGCACAAAAATGCCCAAATGTCCACACTCATGAGAGGATGGCTCTTAACCTCAACCTCTTGGCAGAAGCTCCATGGGCCTTAGAGGACACATACACGGGTGGGTGTCTTCAAAATTCAAACCAGAAGCTCAAATTGGCCCCCTCCAGGGGCCAGGTCCCAAGCTGGCCCTGTCGCAGTGGGACCCAGGGACCCTGCCGCGTCCTGCCTCTCTGGCCGCAGCCCCAGCCTCTCCCCGGCTGGGGGACGTGAGCAGGAATGGCTCAATCAGGATATAATCGTTTTTAATTAACGTGCGGATCATTTCACAGGCTGATCTCCTTGGAGACCAGAGGGAAGACAGTCTTTTAAGAATTTCTTTGCCTCCCCCCACCCCCCTCCCAGTCGAAGGCCGCCCCCCGCTTTACCCACCCAGCTGCAACCTTGAAAGCAGCATAGAAGCCTGGTGCCTGTGTCCCTCTCGGGGCCATTAGGAGGAGCAGTGTGTGCCTGCACATAGATAGACACACACATGCCCGAGCTCGAGGGCACACTGTCCCCCGGAAATGCACACGAGATCAGAGACCCACAGACACGTACACACAGGGACACACGCAGATTCACACACACACAGATATGCATGCATGCATACGTGCCCGAGAATATAAAAACAGGGCCTGAGGCACACAGAATACACGGGCGTACACACACAGGCTGGCAGGCATACCGACCCCCAAGAATACACAAACAGGATCAGACACACAGACATATGCACACACAGGCACATGGGAAGGCGTCCAAGTCGAGACACCGCAGAAAGGCCCAAATACCCACATTCACGGAAGGGCTGCTTCCATGGGGGACACAAGGCCCTTGTCCTGGTGACAGGAAGTCAGAGCCATAATCGCCTCACCCCACACACACCCCTGGCCCTGTCCTCTGACCTGGGGTGCCCCACCACCAGCCCCACCGGAACCCATGACCAGAGGAGCTGCCACCTCCCTGCCACCCACCTGGTCTGGATCCTCCTGAGCCCCCTAAAGAGCTGTTCCACTCCACCTTGACCCGGCCACGTGGCTCTGAGCAGCCCTAGCTCCCTCACTGGGAGCCCTGCCCCCAGTTGCTCTCCTGGGTGCCCAATGGGCCTGGAGGGTGGGGGCCTCCTCTCTCCTTTTGCTTTAACCAGATCCCTTCCTTCCCCATTTTCTCCCCCACTGTTCTAATTCTTTTCTTTCTCTCCAAGTATCTCTGTTCCCAACCTTCCTTTCCTCTCCTCTTTCTACCCTCCCTTTCCCTTCCTCCCCAAGGACCTCCTGGGGGTCAAGCCGAGCCAGAGGGAGCAGCTGAGATGTCGCTGGCCTTTCCCCTCTCCCCCACTGCAGGGTCTGTGCCAACACCCGCCCCAGCCCCAGAAAAGACCCAGAACTACTAGGACTGAAGGCCAGGGCAGGGGCACAACCAAGGGGGTCCTCTGACATCTGCAGTCCCACTCTCTCTGCATCTGCTTTGGCTCCTCAGCTTTTCCTCCTGGAAAATGGGATGGCAGAGAGGAAGGGTGAGGTGTGGGGGAGGGCAGCAGGGAATCCACTGCTGACCAATCGCAACTGGCACCTTGGGTGGCCCCAGGCACCGTGTGTGCGACACAAGGGCTAAGGAGCCTGTCTGGTGCTCCAGACGTCAGCATCAGAGGCGAGTGGGTGGTCCTCCTCTCCTGGGGCTCAGTGCCCCCGTTTGTGAAATGGGCAAGGCCAGCCTACAGGACCCCCTCTTCCTAAATTTGAAAACCAAAAGGCGAGTCAGCAGCCTGTTCTTGGCTGCTGTGTGACCTTGGAATTCACTCCCCTCTCTGGGCTCCCGTTCCTCCTCGTCAAAGGAGGGGGTTCAGACAGGTGATTCACTGCCGAGGCTCTTTCAGTTCTGAAAGAAGGTTCTGGATTGTGGGGAGGAAGTGTAACAGTGTCCCACTTATCAGGGGAAAAATGAGGAGCCTGTTTCTCCCACTGCAGGCGTGAGCAGCGTCATTTTGAGGAAATCGTCTTAAACATTAAAAAAAAAAAAAGCTCTCCACACGAAGAAATCCACTACCTCGTTCATCAGGGGCAACCAGAACATGGAACAAAAGGGGAATATTAAGTAAATGGCGCATCCACCCAATTGGAAAAGCCTGAAGACGTTAACCGCGGTGTTTATGAAGAGTTGGTTACAAAACAGGAAAAGGCTCCCATGAGCGCCAACGAAGAGAGCAGGATATACGTCTGAACAGAGAGAGTGCCGACAAGTCGCTAAAAAACAACCCAGCCACTAAGCCGAAAAGACTGCGGAAAACGACATCAAAATACTAACACTGTCACAGCCCACCGAGACTGTCCATAACCTTTTTTATTTTTCTCTGTTTTTCAGATTTTCCCATTAATCATATTTTAAAACATATATGTTGAAAAATTATTTTTAAAAAATGACTGAACACCTCCAATTGAGAAACTTTCCCTTTCCATTCATTTATTCATTCATTCATTACTGGTTCATTCATCCCTGTGTCTGTCCAGCCAAAGCCCAGGGTCCATTGTGGCCAGGTCCGGCTCTCACCTGCAGGAAAGGGAACCAGTGGAGGAGGAAGATGCGTCCCCCCACCCCCAGGAATGCACCCGCGGGCCTGGACCCTACAGGGGCTCTGGTGAGCAGAAATCAATCCTGCCTCCCTGTGGCCTCCCAGGCTGGCCCTCAGCTATGAGGACCTCAGGGTCTAGCCTTCCGGTCAGAAACCGACCTTCACGGTGGGGCTGCGGAGTGGGGAGAGTCCCCCCACGAGGCCATAGGCTCCAGCTGCACCAGCTTTCCCAGGCTCTCCCACTGCAGCACCTTCTCTGGGCTCAGAGGGGGGTCCTGAGAAGGCACCCCTCCACCTGGTGGGAATACAGGGTGGGAACATAATGTGAGCTCAAAGGGTCCCCACTGCAGCCTCCTGGGTGGGGGCTGAAAGGGTCCGGGGAGGATTAACTCTCTCCACGCCTGGATGGAGCCACAGAACAGCCTTCCCCAGCCTCCCCCCACCTCCCCAACCCCGCCAGGAGCCCCTCTTTGAATAGAAGGATTTCCTTCACCTGCCCAGGCTGGCAGCCCCATCCCTGGGCCTACTCCCTACCCCAGGAAGAAAAGGGGGGGCCGCTCCCTGGAACGTAATGAAGACAGATTTCCATGGGCTCTCTGCCCCCACTCCCACTCCAACTAGCCTTGGCCCTTTCCACCCTGCCCCTCCCCGCAAGGCGCAGAGGAATGGAGCGCTCTGTGTGCAGAGACCCCGCTGACCCCGCGGCCCCCACTCTGCGTTGAGCGCCCCCCGCCAGGCCTGCGGTCCCCATTAATTCTCTGGGGTAGCACTCGCTTCGCAGTGCCCAGGCGGGAAAGGAGAAGTTCCCACCCCCTTCTCCCCGCCCTCAGCCCCTAGGGGAGGGGCGAGGGTCGGATCTCCGGGTCAAGGAGCAGCGCCTGTTGTGGACCACAGGAGACAAACACCCCGTCACACACACACACACACACACACACACACACACACACACACACACACCCCACACTCAGGATCACCTCTGAAGACACACACACACCCCGTCACACACACACACACCCCGTCACACACACACACACACACCCCGTCACACACACACACACACACACACACACACACACACACACACACACACACACACACCACCCTCAGGATCACCTCTGAAGCCCGCAAACACCCTGTCTCTCTCTCACACACACACACACACACACACACACACACACACACACACACCCTCAGGATCACCTCTGAAGCCCGCATTGTACGGGAAGGGGGGTGGGGGGTGGGGGGTGGCTGATGGGGGGAGGGGGCTCGACGTGCCTGCACTCACCAGCCAATCAACAAGCCCAAGAGAGGCTGGAACCCGGGACCCCGGCCCCCGAACCCGAGCCTCGGGCCGCCACCGCGCACCCCACCCTGCCCGACCCACCCGATGTCAACGTCTCTAATCCAAACAAACCCCACCCCCAAGGAGTCCCCCCTCCGGCTTCCTAGGGTTAGTAGCCCTCAGAGAGACCAAGCTCCGACCTCTCCCCACAACCGCACAGGCGCGAGGTTTCATTGTCAGCCTGGCCACTGGGGCGCGCGCGAGGCGGGGGTGCCAGGGCAGGGGACTATCGTGGCCAGTGGGGAGGGGTCTCCGGGGGAAGTGTTCGGAGCCGCTCCTCCTGCCCGGTCCAGATCCGGAAGCCGCCGGGTGAGGAGGAAGGAGGGGGCGGGGAGAGCGCGACCTCGGGTGCTAGCGGGCGGCGAGGCGGGGCCCAGGCGGCCGGAGTGAGCGCCCAAGGCGTCGGGGGCGCCGAGTCCCCCGGGAGGCTGAGCTCTAGGGAAGTTTCCCACCGGTGGCCCGGAGCTGAACGGGGCGCGCAGCCGACCCTCCCCGCCTGACCAGCTCCGGGGCGCAGACTGCGAACTTGAGCAAAACTCCTTCCTCCCCGCGTCCCTCCCCTCCAGTCTGCGGCCACCAGCCCCGCCATCTCAGCCCTCAGCCTTCGGCCGGTGCCACAGTCGCCAAGACCTCTCACCAGTGTGTGGTGGAGAGAAGGGGAGGGGAAAATCCCCGGCACAACCAAACTGCGGCCAAAAAGAAAAAAAAAGAAATTCCTTCTGAGACCGATTCCCTCAACGGGTGTGGAAAACCCCAAACAGGCAGGTCTGCAACTCCAGCCAAGACCGCCGCGCGGCGGGAGGGGTGCCGGGGGCGGGCGGAGACCCCGGCCGGCAGCCTCGGGAGCCCTCGCGCCCGGATCGTCCCCCCACCCACCAAGACACAAAGCTCCGCCGCCAACAATACCTGCGGGCTCCTCCTGGGTCTCCCGGGCGCGGGCGCTGCGCGTCTCGCCGCCTCCCTTCCCCGCGCCGCCTCTCCTCCTCTGCTCGCGCGCGCAGTCCCCTCGTCTCTTCCAGAACGCGGCGGCCGGATGAGATCTTTGGGAGAAAAAAATGTGAGCGCTCGCACGATTCCTTTCTCTCCGCCCGCCGCTCGCGGCGGCCGGGGGCTCGCTTTTTTCTCCCTCGCGCTCCCGCGCGCGCCGCGCCTCTCGCGCCCCGTGTTTCCTTCTCAGCAGCCCCTGCGAGCGCCCTCAGTAGCCATTATTCACGGGCCACCGGGGGACAGGAGGTAGAGACCGCCCCATGGCCGCATCCACTCGGCGAGCGCGATGCGGGCGCGGGGCGCGCGCGGGGAGGGGCGCGCGATGAGGGGCTTGGCTGCGCGCAGCCCGCGCCCCAGACGCGGGGGAGGGGAAGAGGCTGAGGGGGCAGGAGGGAGGGGGCGGGGGAGGACTAGGACCTGGTGAAGGGAGCGGGAGGAGGGGGCGCCGGGGAGACGCTCCGGCGGCTCTCACCGCGGGGCTCGGGGTCACTGGCTAGGAAGCTCCGAGGCGCTTAGGGACCCAGGGCGGGCGGGGGTTGGGGGGTGGTAAGTGTCTTCGTGCGCGCGCCCGCGCGCGCGTCAGAGATGGAAGGGGAGGGAGGGGACGCTTTAATATTTTCCCAGTGACTTACGAGCCCGTGGGTGAGCTCCTGGCTGCGCGCTCGGGTCCGTGTGTGTATCAGTGTGGTTGTGTATTTCTGGTCTGCCCTCCGTGTGAATGTCACGGGGCGTGGGGGCCTGCTGCGAGCTTGTGAATGTGCTTCTGGGTCTCGAGGGGACGGAGTGATGCGGTGCCTGCGTGGGGTTGTTTGTGTGCGATTGTTTATCAAGGGCTGCGGGACTGCGCCTGTGTGGGCCGTGTCTGCGTGAGGTTGTGCGCGTATGGGATTGTGTCTGCGTGGGCCCGAGTGTGTCTGAGGGGTGTCGTGTCTCCGTGGGGGCTTGTTTGCGTGGAGCTGACGGTTGTAGGGGCGGGGGGCCAGCGACGGGTTGGGGTGCTCCCGCACGCGGTCTTGTGTGGGGCTAGCGGGGCAGTGTTCTGCGTGCGGGGCCGAGGCCTGGCTGGAGGAGGGGGTCCGCGTGGTGTTGGGGACTGCACCGCTGCAGAGGCACGAACAGGCCGCTCAGGGGTCCAGCACAGCGCGGCGAGTGGTGGCGGAGGAGAGAAGGCTAAGACCCGGGGACCCGCATCCCGCCCCCCCTCCGCACCCCGCTCCAGAGACGCAATTTAGAGATCCTGGCACTGGCCGGCCCCGCGGTCCTAGAGGCACCGGGTTTGGAGGATTCGACCGGGCCGGGGAGACGCCTACGGGCTGGGGGCAGCGGGGACCGAGGCTTGGAGATCCGCGAGCGGCCCAGAAGCGCGCGGCGAGGACTGCCCGCCGAGGCGGGTGGCGGTCCGGAGACGGTGGAGGACCAGGCCGAGACAAAGAAGCGCGGGGCCGGGGCCTCGAGGCGGGACCGTACCTCCGATTCCCCCACGGCCGAGGGGCGGGCCCTCCTGGCCCCAGTTCTGGGACGCCGCCGTAGCGGCCCCAGAGCCCCAGGGACGCGGAATTACGCGTCCCGGGCGGGGCCAAGGTGCGGGACGAACGGGCGGGGTGGGGGGGAGGTTGCGCGTAGCCGGCGGGCGCCGCGCCCCGGGGCTGTGATTGAGCGCCTGGCGGCCCGCCCCTCGCTGGGCTGCTCACCGCCCACGCAGCCATTCATTCATTCATCCGTCCTCTCTCCATCCACCCACCTTCTACCCAAACACGTGTCCGGCCTGTCGTCCGTCCACCCGATTATCGCGCCAGGGATCACACTGACGCGTCAGTGCTTGCTCTCTCCACTTTCCCTGCCCACCAGCCTGTCCGTGCCACTCTCCTCGGCCCCCACCTCGTGTCCCCCCAGGCCCCTGTCTGTCTGGCAGGAGGGAGGAGCGCACCCCACGACCTCTGTCACTCGGTCTTTGCTCTTTAGTGATGGCCAGACCCCTGTCCCCACCTACTAACCGCCCCTCCACTAAGGGCTCTGTACATAAGGGCTTCTCCCCGCCCTGCCGGGCCTTCGCAGAGACCTGGTGACTCCCTGGAGGGCAGGGGCCAACACCATATCACACCACTGCTGAGCGCCTCCTCAGCCCGGCCCCTCTGGGCTGGGCGGGGGGAGCGGCGAAGTGGCGGGGGATGGGGGGGGTGATGGGGGTGCATCCAGATGGGGTTTTATGAAGGACTGCTGTGGCTATGCAGGTCATTAGGACCCCGGTGGCTGGAACAGTCACCCTAAACCTGCCATTTGTAGGTTGTCAACTGAGGACGAAGAAAATAAGTTCCTGGTCTCTAGCCCAGACCTCATCCATCCAAGTGGCCAGAGCAGAGCCCCTCTACGCTGTTCCTTCTGCCTGGGATTCAGCATCTAGCAGTCAGGCGTGGGAAGCACTGGCCAGGAACAGCTTCCAGCCTGCCCAGTCCCAAGGGTGGCTGCCTGGTGCCAAGAGCAGACCACTCCCAGAGACAGACCCTCTGCTGACTCCAGGCTCACCTGGATGCAGCAAAACCCGCGGGTGCCAGATCCCCCAGCTCACCCTGAGAATCCCTCCTATCCAGGCTCTAGCCCCACCCACCTCTAATATGCAGGTGCTTAGTCTCTGTCTTCAAATATCTGGCCTGGGAACCAGGGTTACTCAGTCCTGAGGCCACTGTGTGCACCATTAAACAAAAAGTCCCAGTTCCTCCTGGGACCCCCGACCCAATCTCAGCGCCACCTGACCCTCAGCCTGTCTCTGTCACACCCGGACTCAGCCATCTCCTCCAGGCAGCCTCCCAACAGGCCAGGTGGCAGGTGGGAGAAAGGGTGGTGGTGAATGCCCCCTTTCCCTAGGAGCAAGCACAGGCTCCACACACACTCACTCCCCTGCGCCTTTCACCACTGTCTCATTCTCACCTCGGGGCCTTTGCACTTGCCTATCCCTGTGCCTGGAATGCTCTTCCCCACCTTCTAATGCACTGCATGTAATGTATGTATTTTGTAGGCGCTTTTGTTTGTCTGCTCACTGGCGCCTCCTCTGTCCCTGGGATGGTGCCTGGCACACGTTCAATAAGTATCTGGTGACTGAACGAGCGAGTCTGATCCAGACGGCGCTTCCTCTTCTCTGAACCCAGGGCCCCTCTGGAGAACAATGGGAGGGGATGAAGAACAGTGGGGCAAGGACAGGTGGTATGACTCATCCAAGGTCACTCCAGGGCCCTTCATGGATTCTGGATTCTGAGCACGTGTCCAAGGGGTTGGGAGAAAGGAGATGGCGGAGCTGCAGCTTATCCCAAAGGAGAATGGAGCCCTTTCCCAGGCAGAGGGCAGAGACGCCCCCACCTGGCCAAGGCCCTTCCACCAGTGCTGTCACGGCAGGGCTCTGCCTGTCTCTGATTGAAGCCAGGCTCAGAGCCATCAGAGGGCTTGTCAAGAACACACAGCAGGACAACTGATCCCCACCTGACTGTAAATTTCCAGACCCTGGCTCAGTGCCAGGCCCAGAGCAGGCACTCAGGATGCCCTTAGCAAAGCAATGAACAAAGCAACAGCACCAAGATTCAGACTGAGGTATGCACGGCCCTGGACCCCTTATCAGGCCCTACCCAGTGGGATTCGCAGGGTGGTGGCGACCAGGCCCACCAAAAGGTGGGTCTTCTGTTCGTTCATGCTGAGGGGAAGCTGCCTGGGTGGTTGGCTCCCTGCTCCAGCCAGGGGTCTGAGTCCATGCCCCGGTGAGTCCTGCTCCAGGCTTGGTAGGGAGATGGAACCCTGCACTTGGCTGGCGGGAGAGTCCCATGGGCCAGGGTGAACATTCATTGTCTCAGTTTGGGGAGGCTGTTTCCTGGGCTGGGGGGGCGGGGGGCGGGATGTGGTCACAGCCAGAGAGCCTGGACCAGGATGGTGCCCATACACTTGCCCAGCACTGTCTGAAGAGCCACCTTCCTGCAGACCCTGTGTCCAGGACCCTGTGTTCAGGGTGAAATAATAAATAGGGGCCAAGGAAGGATGCCCAGGCAGACCATGCAGTCAGGGGGGCTGCCAGATGCTGGGCTCACTGACAGGCCACCAGGGAAGGGGTTAGCCAGGGCCCACCATCCTGGTGGGCAAGAGAGGCAGAGAAAAGGGACACAGACTCCAGCCATCAGGCCCGGCAGGTGCTACCAAGACCCAGACATCTCGTTCAAGCTCAGCCCTGGTGCGGTGGCACCCAAGCCTACTGGGCTTGGAGGGCTGTGGCTCGCTGAGGAAAGGACGCAGCACCGGACACGTGGTCTGCAGGTGCGCAGGCCTTGGGTCAGAGGTGCGCCAGCAATTTCAAGTTTCCATCCTGTCCTCAGCTCGGCCACCCTCCGCATTTCAGAGTCGGGTCTCTGAGGGCCAGGTGGCGGACTGGCCCCGGGCACCCAACCACTTGGGCAGTATTTATGGAGCACCTCCTATGTTCCAGGGACCGTTCTACGTGTGAGGAGTCAGAGCAAGGGGCAAGACAGAGCTGCCCCTTCTTCCTTGTCGGGACACAGTGTCGTCCATGACACATAGGTGAGGTGTGCTGCGGCAAATAAAGGAGAGCTTCCCAGGTCACACAGTGGTAAAGAACGTGCCTGCCAGTGCAGGAGACATAAGAGATTCAGGTTTGATCCCTGGGTCAGGAAGATCCCCTGGAGGAGGGTGTGGCAACCCATTCCAGTATTCCTGCCTGGAGAATCCCATGGACAGAGGAGTCTGGTGGGCTACAGTCCATGGGATCGCAGAGAGTCGAACACAACTGAGCGACTAAGCATGAGCATGGGGCTGGAAATATGGGGGTGGGGGAGCTGTTTTCCAGTCGATGGCCAGGAACAGGCACTTGAAACAGGTGAGAACAGACCTGAAAGACGAAGGCAGGAAGCAGGCAGCTACCTGGGGGCAGAGCTGCCTAGACACGAGAACCCTCATGCAGCCGTCAAGGTTGGAGTAGAGGAGCCAAGGGGCACGTGGGAGGAGACAGGGACACAGGAGTGACAGGAGCCACCCACAGGCCCTTGTGCATATCTGTGAGGCC